AAACTATCTATCTCTAACTATTAGAATTATTATAATATTAATATTAATATTTTCTTATTTATAAAATAATTTATAATAAAATTATTATATACCTTTATAAATATTTAAAGTTTAAAAATATATTTATTTAAAATATATAATTATTCTATTACTTATAAAAAACCTTTATAATTATTTTATTATAAAATCTTATCTACTTTTTTTTATAATTTAAAATTTTTAAAATCTTTTAGTTTTATATAGACTTTTTATATATATTAATGTTTTATTAGTATTATAAATATTATAGATAGTAGCTCCGCGGAAAAAGCTTTATAATATAATTCTTTTATAATAATATTATTATTTATTATTTTTTGTTTATAATTTTTTATATATTTAAAATATATCTATAAATATAAGTTTATTTGAAATTTATAAATAAAGCTTCTGTTTTTATATTTTTTAATTTTTATAATCTAAATAAATTAAATAATTATTATAAGACTAGTTTATCTAATTACTTATAATTTTCAATTATTATTATTTTTATAATTTAAATATTATAAAAATATATCTGCAGGATTTTGTGTATCTGAATAATAAATAAAATAAAACTTTTATAAATATTAATTACAAGAAATTCTATATTAGACTTTCTTTTTTTTTATAAAATTTCTTAGTAAGATCTATAAGTAAGATTATTATTTAAGTATTTTTAAATAAATTACTAATATTAATTAGCAAATTTTATAAACTATAATATATTTTTTCTATTTTATAACTTTAATTATTTATAAATTATTATAATCTGCTCTGACTTTGTTTATATATTTTTATAATTAATAATAAATTTGAGAAAATTAATCTTTATTTATATAAAATAATACTTATTTAGCTTTATATATTGATCTATCTTAATTAAGATTTATATAATTTTATAAATTTTTTTTTTATATCTCTAGATCTTGCAAGTATATTATAATATTATTAAAATAAATAATTAAAAAATTATTTAAGTATTTTATAAAAAAAGAATTTATAAAGTCTTAAAATTCTACAGATATATTAGTTAATCTGAATAATATAATTAAATATTTAAAATTTAAATAGATTATATTTTATTTAGATAATTATTTTTTATTTATAATCTATTATAATTTTTATTTTATAATAAATTTTATAAAAATAAAATTATATAAATTATAATATTTCTATAAGCTGATTAATATGATTATTAATTTATAATAAATATTTATTTTTGATAATTTATTTATTTAATTTATCATAATTAATATATACTTTAAATTTTTATTTATTTTTATAAAGAGAACTAATACTCTGATAAATAATTTTAAGTATTAAATTTATTTATATATAAAAATATTTTTATAAATATTCTTAGAGTATTTTCTACTTTACAGATAATATTTTATAAATTAATTATATTTTTAATTCATAATCTTTTTTGAGATTAATCTTTAGATTAATATTTAATTATAAAAATAAATAGTTTATTATTTTTTTATAAATATTATTTTAAAATTATAAAGCTACTCTAACAGTACTTTTAAATTTATCTTTTTATAAATAAATATAATTATTATAATTTATAATTATTTAATTTTTAACTTTTTTATAAGAAACTTTGTTATAGTAATATAATATATTTTAATTTATTATTTCTTAATAAAATCTTAAATTATATTAATTAAATTCTGTAACAGAGATATCTGTTTAAATTTATAATATATTTAAGATAATCTTTCTTATATTAAATATTATAATAATAATTTCTTTATAAATCTTATAATTATTTTTTATATTTATAAGATTTATTTTGAATATTATAATTTTTTTTGATTTAAATGTTATTATTATTATTTAATAATCTTTTAAAAGTCTTTACAGATATTATTAATTATTTTATAATTTTTATTAATATTATAAATATTAGATTTATTCTTATATTTATATTAATTAAAATATCAATTTCTTTTTAATAAATTAATTTTATTCTGTGTGAGTGATTATTCTTAAAATTTTAAAATAAAATATATTATAAGAAAGATATTTATCAGCTTTTTATAATTTATTGAAATTATAAATTATTTATTAAGATTTTTATTTCTATACTAGTAATAGTTTTTTATTATATAATTTTTTTATAATTAAAATATTTTATTATTTCTGCGAGTATTAATATAAAATCTTATAGAATAAATATTTTTAATATATTTAATTATAAAATATCTTTTTATAAAGATTTCTTATAATAATTCTAATTATTAGATTATTTTATTTAATTTATAAAAAATCATAACTTTTTTAATATATATAATTAGTTTTTTTTATTTTATTAAGTAATACTTAGTCTTAATTTTATAAGTAGTATAGTTAAATTTTATTTAATTATAAAAAAATCTAACTGTTTACAGATTTTTTATTTTATATTTTATAATCTAGCTTTATTTTTTTTCTAATATTATAAATATATAAAGTTTTTTTTCTTTTTATAAAAAATTATTTTTAAAATTTATAATTATATTTTTATTTATAATTTTTTAAATTATCTAGCTATATCTTAAGAAATTTATAAAGATTTATTTTATTATTTTTTTAAAAAAGCTTTGTGATTTTATTTTTTTATAAATTATTAAATATATAATTTAAATAAATTATTATAATTTATATTGACTATTTTTTATTTTAGTTATTAATTTTTATAATAGTTTTTTATTGAATAATAAATAATTAAAAAATAATATAATTATAAGTATTATAATATTTATTATTTTATAAAATATATATATATATATCAGTCTTTTTTAATTTTATAAATAAAATATTAGAATTATTTAAAGATTTATAAATCTTTTTATTATTTATAAAAGTTTTATGTCTCTGCTCTAATTCTATAATTTATTAAAATATATTTAATTATTTATAAAAATTTTTAGAAAATAATAAAATTATATTTATTTTAATTATTCTTTTTATAATAATTTTATAATTAATCTTTAGAAAATTAAGAAAATTCTTGTAAATATAATATCTAATATTTTATATAAATATAATTTTAATAAATTATCTTATAGATTTTAAATAATAAGCTTATAAAAATATATATTAAAATAATATAAAGAAAAGATATTTATTATAAAGTTAAAATAATATTTATATTATTTAAAATATTATTACTAATCTTTTATCTAGCTTTTTTTATAAATAAATATATCTATAAGAAGTCTGTAAATTATATATTATATTAATATAATTATTTTATAAGAAACTGTCTGTATAGTATAGATATTGCTTATAATATAATATATTATAAGTATTATAAGAATTACTATTCTTATACTAGATTTATAAGAAATATTTAAAAGACTTTTTAAGCTAATAAAATAAATAATTAATTAAAATATTATTATATAAAAAATTTATTAAGAGATTTATTAATCTTAGAAAATTATTTAAAAAATATTAATAATTTATAAATAATATATAGCTAAAATATAGTTATAAATATATATATCTAATATTATTTTATATTATAAAAATAACTTTTTATTAAAAGCTTAATTCTTATTATTATTTAAAATAATCTTAAAATAGTAAGAATAATATTAAATAAAATATATTATTTATTTTTTCTAATAATTTTTAAGATTAAAAAGATTTATCTTATATAAATTATTAGCAAAGATATAAATAATTAGGATAAATAGAAATTAATTTAAATATATCTTATTTAAGCTAAGATCTAAAAAAATATAATAAATTAATCTTAATACTAAGAATAATTAAAATAATTAATTATTTTATTTGTAATTATTCTACAATTAGATATAAGATAATCTTATATCTAATTATTAATCTGATAGCAGATATAAATTTTCTTTTAATCTATTCTATCCTGGCTGTTATCCACTCTAAATTAAACTACTAAGTATAAAACAGACTGATTAGTCAGTATAGTTTTAATATATAATAAATTAGATATATCAGTAACATAATAAATCTACATAGCAAATAAAATATATTAATAATATAAAAAAAAGAAATAAGAAATAAATAGAAATAGATTAATTAATTAATATAGCTTTAATATATAATAAATAAAATATATTAGTAATATAATAAAGCTATACAACAAACAAGATATGCCAGTAATAAAAGAGAAGAGGAACAAGGAAAAAGCAGAAACAGGCAACAGGCTGGCACTGTAACATTGGATAATAAATAAAAAAGAACATAATTAACAGAATATCTCTATTAAGTATAATATATTATTAAACATCACTTATAAATGTAGTCTGAATATATATAATAGAGATTAAAGAAATTAATCAATAAGGATATGCAGGCATGCAATTACATGACATGTGATAGATCACTTATCATACAGGCAACAACAAGTAGACTATTTAGGGGTCACATGCTAAGAAAGGGCATGTAGTCAACAATATTAACATAAGGAATATTTCATCATATTTATTTTAATAATTTTAAAGTCTCATTTTTAGATTATAAGCTGTCAAACCCACTTCCAAGACAGAGCTGGAATAATCAATATTCCGGCCATCAAGTGAGGGAACTGATTATTTCGTACCAAACCTCAGCTACTCCGTACAAAGGTAGAACTTTCCATACTTAGATTTTACCAGCCATGCCGCCATCCAACCACCCACAGCACGATAGCGATATTGCACAAGTAAGTTTCAATAACCCCCGAGACAATTGCCCCTGCCCATATATTACAAAATGACTATACAGATTCAAGGTAATCGAATACCTCCTCCTACTTGGCTGCTAACCCTCATTGTTTAGGCTTTTAAGGAATTAGCAAAGTAATTACTCTGCCATACAAGCAATGAATATATGACTAATAATACCTACTGCAGTGGCGAAAGAACAGCACTTGCACTGGAAAACCACTTGAACAACTTGGAAAGTAAAATTGATGACCTACTCAACATGTTTGAGAATATACCCGAAGGATCGATGAATGCGTTTGGTCAAGCAGACTCGGGAACAGAGGCTGCTGTAATCGAAGGATCGCAGAACAAATCCTCCAACTGAAACCGTCCTTTGGCATCCTTTTCCACCACACCCTTCTCCGTGATGATACCATCAATGAGTGCTGATGGTGTAATATCAAATGCTGGGTTCCAAACGTTGATACCACTGGCAGCTATGCACACTGTCTCAAACTCCACCTCATTGGTAGAGCTCTTGTCGCGAGGTCCTTTAATCTTTGTTACCTCAGACGCTGGACGTTCCTCAATGATGATGTCGTTGCCGGTCTTTGTGCTCAAATCAATTGTAGTGAGTGGCGCAGCGACAAGGAACTTCACTCCGTGATACTTTGCAAGGACAGCTAGAGCGTATGTGCCTATTTTGTTTGCAGTATCACCGTTTGCTGCCACCCTATCCGCACCAACTACGATCGCATCTACACTAGCCTCCGATTTAGCAAGCAGAGCGGCAGCCATCGAATCTGTAATCAGGGTAGCGGGAATATTGTCATGGACCAATTCAAATGCTGTCAAACGGGATCCCTGATTGTAGGGACGTGTTTCAGTGCAATATGCATGTCGTAATTTGCTTGTTGATGCCAGTGCACGAATAACACCCAATGCTGTTCCGTATCCTGATGTTGCAAGAGATCTGCCAATGTATCAAAAACGGAGCGCCCTTGGCTTGGTGTGTTGTACTAACCCTGTATTGCAATGGGTGAGGACAGTGGCTTTTGATTTCTTCGCATCTAAGCCATTCGCCAAAATCCATTGTGCACCATATGCTCCAATTTGTATATTATCATTGATATCTTTTGCCAGCATTTCTTCGGCTGCTTGAATCAAAGCCGTCGCGACGCTGTGACCGTTTGATTCTGGTCTCCCGGCGTGATCCACCACCACAGCACTAAGTTTCCGGGATGCATCTCCAAGATTGACCGCTGTAGGTCTGCTGCTCACGAGGTACTGGAGCTTTTCTATAATGAATGCCTGAACCTCTTCTGCGCTGGAGGAAATTTGGTCGTATGCCACAAGTGTCTGGAGCTCGGAGGCGAGGGCTAGGGCTGCTACAATGGCAATAGCAGGAGCTCCTCGCACCCTCATTTCTTTGATTGCATGCCAGGCTTCGTCACTGGTACGGATAGGAATATAATTTTCCACATAAGGGAGCTGTAGCTGATCAATGATAGATAGATTGCCAGCACTGTATCTGATTGCCTGCAGAGTCATGATTCAAACTCTGATATTAGACCAGGAAAGCAAGATTGCTATATGAAATGAAAAAGTGGGTAAAATGTTACTGGTTGAAGTAATTTTCCGAGAAAATTGTTCAATGTGTGTCATGTCGTAACATTGTGGTCAACAATTCCGCTGCTTCCCACTTTTAGTTCAACGCACACGTGGGGCAGAAAAGCTGCCGACATCAGCCCCGCCATAGGGCTAGGAATGATGAACCAACTAGTAGCATTTGGAACTTGGACAGAAATAAAACATGATTTCTCTAGAGAGAGCAGAAGTATCGGACAAGTTTAATTCTCTGATGAAACTAGATCGGAATCACCTGTTACCTTGCACTTGCAAATGTATGGTCTACTAAAATAGCCCGCATGCCTTCTTGCTCTGAAAGTAGTTCCCCCGTGATCATGTCAAGTATCTATTACTCGGCCCCTTCAAAGAGAGGACTGAGAAACGGTCGGGCTGTGTAATGTTTTGTGAAGATCTGGCCTGTACCAATTGACTCGTCCAGATTACCCCCTCCATACCTTGATCATCCCCGGGCTGTCTACTCTTTCTGGGTATTGTTACTCTGCATCCTGAAAGGCTTTAGTGGCAAGGAAACCATTCCTTAGGCCGTAAAGGCAATGCAGGCAGTGGACAAGGTGTTCTCTAGCTGGTGTCGGCTGGATATATCCAATCACTGTGCTGATATATACAGCACTGTATAACACATAGTTCAAAATAATAACAATCAGAAGTGTTTGGTATACTAGGTGTGACATGACAAACCGTTATTTCCCCGTATGAACGCATCCCCATAACTTCTTGTCAGGATTCCGTTAACAAATTCCTCGGACTTTTCTAGGGCTATGTTCATATAGCCATCTACTGATTGGAGTTCCCCTGAACTGGTTGTTAGCATGATGTTTTCTCTTTTGAAGTCTCCTTTCAAGTTCTTTTCAAAAAATCTTTTTATTCAGAATACAAAAAAATCGAGGGCTTCATATAGAGGGCTGAAGTAAAAACAATATAAGAGAGTGAGAGTGACAATCTAAGTACCTTTGTATACAACACCGGAGTTCAACTTGACAGTGACCGGTGCACTGATGATCTCGCTCAGAAAGGCTGAGGGATCCTTCCCTTCGGATGGTGCACCATTCTCCATTTTAGTTGCTAGTGACTCTCCTTCCGTGGTCGTTTGCCTTTGATTTGGATTGCTGAAGGTAGATGACCGCTTCTCCTGGAAAATCCACTGGATTGTTGAATCGCCGAAGAGATTGAAACTGGTCTTACTAGTCACATTAACCTGAATAGGACTAGACAGGGCGTGGATGTGGGGAGGGGTGATGCACGTGCCGTCCCGCGGCTCCGCAATATGTCGCCAACAACATCCACAGTCGACATAGTTGTATGTTCTTTGCCGATGAGAATCACTTGATTCTGGATATGGTCTTTGACACTGATTTTCTTTTTACATATGACAATCCTTATAATCTGGTGAAATGCGTTCGTTTTTCAATAAACCCTCTTGGGCAAGCAGAGGCGACGAGGAAGCAGACTTAGATTTTTACCGCCGTGCTGGTCAAGTCTATAATGACATCGTCACTACGAACACGAGAGCACATTCTGCGAGATTTATAGGAAATAATGGCAGCACAAAACGTCGGCGGTTTGAACAAACCCCAGAGGCGAGCGGGCCCGGAACTGAACCCTGCAACAACCACCAGATATCAAATACTCAGGACCGAGCACTGAATTCCGGCACCAGCTGTAGTTCTAGTTTGCAAGAGGATGTCAACAAGAGTGACTGTCAACCCCCAGGAATGGAAGACACTGGTAAACCTAACACTGCAAAAATAATTGAGACCAGCATGCAAACTCGTGCTCTTGTGGAAAATGTTCGGTCTACTGAGGAAGACACAGTGACCATATCCCCGTGGCCCATGGAAAGAGGAGAGGAGAAAAAGGTGCAGATTGCCGGAAACCCGAACGCCAAGCATGCTCGGACAGACCCCGATATTGTCATGCCTGATAAATCCAATCACAGAGACAATGATGCTGTGGTTCAAATCCTTATTACTTCGAAAATTGCGAATACAAAACCGCTGATTGTTCGCCGCAAACTGCACCAGCCATTGAAAGATGTCCGCCTGGCTTGGTGTCATCGCCAGAGTCTTTCTAGAGAAATTCAGGCGTCGATATTCTTAACTTGGAAGGGCAAGAGACTGTTTGATGTTACTACATGCAGGAGTTTGGGAATTCACACGCGGGATGGTAAAGTTGTCAGCACGAAAGATTATAAATCTTTTTTGGTCGATGATGAAGAGTTGCAACTTCATATGGAAGCTGCAACTGATGAGATTTTCAACTTGAACAATCGACAGTTGTCGCTTGCGACCAATAAAGGGTCACTATCAGAGGCAGCGGATTTATTGGCTGAGAGTTTTGATTTGGACACACTTGTCTTAAAATCTCCAGGTGTTCATGATCTGAAGGTACATTTCAGTCTACAAATGCGGGTATCACAACTTATTACTGCCTTTCGTATCAAGAGGCATATTCCTGCGGAGTGTGATGTGTACTTGTTATTCGATGGTGACCGCTTAGATCCTTCATCAACCCTAGCATCCTATGATTTGATGAACAATGATCTTGTGGATGTGATAGTCAAAAGAGAAGCTTAGATCAAGATTAGTCTGCTTGTAATAAACAGCCTTTGTAAGGATAGTAATCCTTATAACCCTCGCGATATATTCATACTCCCTAGACAGTCCCTCCCGAGGATACTATACTAGCAGGTACTCAGATATATAATTTATAGAGTTCTTGTGAATATATTTATTTATAAGAGAACGTAGATAAAAAAGAAGTTATAATATTTTAAATAATACTATAGACTATATTTTAATTTTAGAATAGATATATCTTCCTTATATTATTTATAATTATATTTTTTCTCATAATCTTATTACTTAAATATTATACTTATAAGATCTTTTTTAATTCTTTTTGATAATTGTTATGGGGTTCTTATATAAATCCTCCAAATCCCAAATGCTTGGCAATCCCTGTGTGATACATTAAAATAATAATAAAGCAAGAGTGTTATGGGATACATACCAGGGCTATCCAACTCAGCTAGTATGTCTTGTTAGATTATTAATTCACTGAGTTATATATATATATATATATAATTATTAAATTCTTAAAAATTCTTTTTAAAATATTAGTCATTTTTTTTCTTATATATAAACTTAATTTTTTATAGCTTATAGATTCTGTCTCTAATATTAGAAATAATTTTTAAAAAAAATATTATAGTTCAGTGACTAGCTGTATAAAAATTAAAATAAATTAATTAAAATATTATAATTTAAAAATTAACTATATAATTAAAATATTAATAATCTATAAAAAATATTTTAAATCAGTAATTAATTATATATAAAAAATTAATAAAGAATCTAATATAAATATAATATCTTATTAATCTAGTATATAGATTAAAAAAAGCAGAAGAATAAATAATAAAATAATAAAATTATTATAAAATATAATAACAGAATAAATAGATATAATTTAATTAATAAATTAATAAATCACAGAAAATTATAAATATTTAGATAATAAAAAATCTATTATCTTAATAAAAAATATTCTTAGAATTTTTATAAATAATTATTTAATTATATAATTAAAAATCTTTTATTTAAAAATTAAAGTCTTTAATAAAAATAATAAATAAGATCTTTCTGATTTTAAAATATATTTATATTTTAAGTTTATAATAAATATAGATATATATTCTAATAATATTATTAAAATAATTTATATATTTATATATTTAAAAAAAATAATATAATAAGAAGAATCTTATTTTAATATTAAAGTCTAAACTCTAAATAATAAAGCTATTTATATTATTATTATTATTATTAAAATAAATAACATTTATGAAAATAAAGATTAAAAGATAAAAATATTAAATAAATTATATTTATATTATTAAAATAATCAGAAGCTTAAAGGATTTCTAGAAAATTCTAATATTATACTTATATAAGCTAATAGTAATAATATTATCTAAAATAATAATCTAAAGATTATCTAAAGATTACTATATTAGAGAATATTCTTAATTATATTCTTTAAGAAATAATGATTAGTTTATAGAAAAGTTTTATTTATAAGAAATATTATAATTAACTATAATAATATCATTATACTATAAAAAAATAAATAAAAAGATTTTAAAAATAGAATTATTATTAATCTATTTTAATATTTTATTTATCTAATATTATAGACTAAGAATATATTATTATAATTATAAACTATTAAAAGACGGCTCAGTATAAGAAAATATATCAATAAAATCTTTTTTAGAGTAGATATTAATATAGAAACTTTAAAAAAAAGAAATAAATATTTATTTTTATTATAAAAAATAAAAATATCTAATTAAAGAATATAATTAAAAAATATTTATTTAACTAATTATATAAGCTATACTCGTGATCTAAGAAAAGAACTAATTTAAGAAGATCTTGAATAATTATAATAATTATTAAAAAAAAGTAGTCTCTATATAAAGTTATAAATAATAATATTTAAAAAAAGTAATTAATCTAAATTAAAAATATTTTAAAAGAGAACATATAAATATTAGATTCTTACTTTTAGAAACTATTATAAATTAAATAACTAATATTTAAATATTAATAAATATAAGATACTAAGTCTATAAAATTATTAATTAAAAGTTTATATAAAAATAAGATTTTAAGCTAATTTCTATTATATCTATTCTAGTAGAGTGGCTAACGGCCAGGTCAGATCAGGTTAATTGGAATTTTTATACCTAACCGCCAGATTATAATCAGATTAAGAAAATTTTTATATCTGATCACAGTATAATCAAAAATCAGATAATTAATTATCTTAATTATTTTTAGTACTAAGATCTATTTACTATATTTTTTTAAGCTCTAATATAATTAAGATATATCTAGATTAAACAGTTATTAATCTGGCTATCTTTATTATTATCTAAAAATATATAAAAAGAAATCTTTTAGATTAAAAAAATATAATTAAAAAAATAATTAATATCTTCTTTATTATTATTTATCAGAAATAATAAGAAAGTCCTAGTTATATTAATAAAATTTAGTTTTTTATAAAATTATTATTCTTACAGCAAGAAATATATATAAAAATATATAATTATTACTCTATTTTAGCTATATATCTTAATTATATTATAGAATACTAGAAAAATTATATATTAATTATTAATTAAAATACTAAGAATAAATATATTATTTCTATTCTATTATTTTTTCTGAATTAGACTATTTTTAGATTTATAAATAAAATATAGCTTAAAAAGCTATTAATAAAATCAGAAATAAATAAATAGTTAAGAAGATTATAAATAATTAGATTATTAGAATAAAGTAGATTAAATAGATTAAACAGATTAAACAGATTAAACAGATTAAATAAATAAAATAGATAAATAAAATAAATAAAATATACTAGATCTATACTATAATACTATAGCTCTTATAAAAGATTTTATAAAAGTCTTTTATAAATTTTTTTTATAAATATTTATTTTTTATTCTAGTCTATTATATCTTAAGCAGCTTTATTTAAAAAAAGAAATTATTCTATAATTTTAAGCTTTAGATATAAATTTCTGCTTGCTAGATCTATTATTAAATTTAGAATTAAAGATTAAATCCTATTTTATTATTATATTAAATTCTTATTTTAATTTAATATCTACTAAACAGAGTTTTCTATTTTTATTTTTTTATATTTATTATTTATAGAACAGCTTCAGAATTATAAATTAATTATAATTATTTAGTTTATTTTTAAAAAATACTATCAAGTCTTCTTCTTTTATTTCTTAGATCTTTATAAATTATAATAATATCTAAACTAAAATAAGTTTCTTAAGTCAGATTTTTTTTTTTTTTTAAATCTTAAGATTATATATATTACAAAAAATTAAAAGATTATTTTATATTTAATTTTTTAAAAAAAGCTCTCTATTTTCTAAAATTAATAATAAAAATAATCTTTTCTAAAAATTATATATAAACTAAAAAACCACTATTTTATTTTAATTAAAAAAAATTATTAATAATATAGAACAGCTTTCAGAAAAATATATTATTTTTTAATAAAATTTTTTATATTTATTATATTATATATCTTTATATTTTATAATATTTAGAAATTAAAAACTCAGAAACTAGTTCTATAAGCTATTATCTTTATAAGAATTATAAAAAAAAATTATTATTAATTATATCTAAATAAATAATTAGTCAGATACTGAGTAAAGAATTATTATAAATATTTATTTATTTTTTTAAAATAAATTTTTTTTAATTATTATTTTTCTTTAGATCTTTATAATCTATAATAAACAGAATTTTTAGAATTAAATCCTATATTTTATAATTATCTATTATTTATTATTTTAAATTATTAAGTATATTTAATTTAAATAGATAATTAATCTTATTATTTTATCTTTTTATTAAAAATTAAATTCTTTTAATTAAATATAAATTAAAGAATATCTTATAAAACTGTTTAAAAAGATATATATATAATTATTATTAAAATTCTTAAATATTAAATAAATATTAATTATAATAAACTACTAGATCAGTCTTAATTAGAAAATATTTCTTAATTTAATTAAATATTTCTTAATAAAAGATATAGATTATTATAAGATTTTACTAGACTTTTAACTAATATCTAAATTTTATATTAATAAAAATCTAGCTATAATTATTCTATTAGTCTTATATAAATATAATCTTATTTATTAATTATTAGATATAATAATTAATAATACTAATAATAATAATATAATATTTAATATAATCTTAATTAAATTTTAAACTTAACTTAGCCAGAGTACTTAGTTTTATAATATTTTAATTAATTTTAATCTTTTAAAAATTATTTAAAACTAGTATTATATTTTCTATCTTATTTATATAATTTAGCTTATAATTAATATTTTTCTACAGAAACTTTAAATTAAGATCTTAAATAATATTATTAAATATATATAAAAAAATAATAATAGAAATCTTAAAATCTTTTTTAATATTTTAAGAATTTTTAAAAAAATATATTCTAGAAGCTATCTATAAAAGATTAATATAAAATCTTTTTTTATAAAAAGTTTCTAGAAGTTTTTTATCAGCTAGTTTATTATATTAATTTTTAATTATAAATTTAAAAGATTATATAATTTATAAATATAAGTTTTTAATATTATAAAAAGTTTTTATTTATTTAATAATTTAAATTTAACTTAATTTATTATCTTCTTCTTAATTATAAAATCTGCTGGAACTTAATCTATCTTATAATTTATTAAATATTTAATTTTTATTAAGTAATCAAAAGTTTTATTTAATATTATAAATATAATAATATTAATTATCTTTATTTTATTATAATTAAATAAAAATAGATAAAATATTTTCTTAAGCTTCTATATTTTTTTTTTTTTTTATTTTTTATCTCTCTAAGAACAGTAAGTCTATTATTTATAAAATTTATAATATTTATAATAATTTTTTTAATTATCTGAATTACTTAATTAATAGATTAGAAAGAAAATAAATACTTTAAAAAAAAAATTCTTAAGAGCTTGTATAATATATATTAAAAGCTCTGAAAATATTATTATTATATTTATTAAATA